ACTTGCAGGGAAAGCCTCCAACAAGGAGATCCACCTGTCAGCAAAAGGCTTTGATGAAATTCTACAACGTCTGCTTAAATTCAATTGGTTTGGATTGTGAACCCAACAACAAAAGAAGTCAAAAGACCTACCTTGGGAATTCTGCGATGCTCACCCGAAGCAGTCTCTGCGTGATCACCTGACAAGTCCTGCACGTCCTTGAAGCAGTTGCGGGCGTGAAAACGGGTCTGCAAGTACTCCATCTTGGAAGGGTCATTCTCCACCATGAACATCAAGTCGGCCTGTGAGTGTGTGTGTGTGTGCACATGTATGTATGTGTATGTATTTGTTGGCAGTTTAGAATAACCCCATTGAGTAATGAGTATATAATCGTTTCATTTCTGACTCTCTTAGCCTCTTTGAGCCAGCAGCTATTGTAGTACAGTATCTCGTTAAATCTAGTGGTTTCCTCCCCTCAACTTCCATTCCCTGTAGGCACACGCCAATCCCCAAATTCCCAATCTTCTTGGTGAAAAAGATACGCCATCCTGCCTTAATTTGGTTATTTGGATGCACTTCATTCCAGCGACACCCAAACTCCTCCATAACCATCTCGAGAACGCCCCAGCCGCTGCAACAGCTTCCAACCTGTGCGCCACATATGTTTTGGACAAGTTGATAATTCCTCGGCCACAATATCATAAGAATATGAGTTGCTCGACAGAAATTAAACAAACAAAATGTAATATCACATATCTCACATTTGACGTGCCTTCAAATTGTCGACTTTGGAGAGTCTTGATGCCAACTTTGTGCGAAGGCCCTGGAAATGGTCCATCTGAAAGAAGGCATCCACAAAATTGCCCACCTTGGATGAATGAACATTCTAGATCTATAATCTATATCGGCTATATCTTGGGACCTGGGTTTGGTGGTTCGTTTGAAGTACAATCCTTGGAGCGATCAACAAGTTGAACTGGTTGACATTAAGTGCAGTTTCAAAACGTTTACGACCGAGGATCCCCTGGGTTCTGAAATGGTAGATTGCGCCCTCGTTCACCCTCTCCAACCATGACCAGTCCCCCATCTGAATCTGAAGCATGCATGACCTCGTTCACCTCCTCGTTCACCTCCTCGTCCACCGGGTAATCTCCTGCAGGAAATGGAAACCGCTAATTGAAAAAACATCACGTTCCGTTCGAGGGACATTATAAAGAGATATAAGAGCAAAATCAATTTCAGCCCAGCACGTAGAGAGAAGACACATTGCAATGCGTGTCAAGTCCTTCATCGCAATCAGAGGCAAATAGAATGTCTTCGTCTTCTCGCTGGGAAGGCGCTAAATCAACGCTCCTGGCATTCAACGATTCTTGTTCTTTGGATCTAAAGCCCCTTTGGAATTTCCTCACGCTGGGTGAGCATCCAGTACCTATATGCAAGGTGGTGAAACATACCTGACTGAATGAACAGGCCTAGAAATTGCAATCCTTTTGAAACCAGATTTTATGATTGATATGATATGATTATTTTATGGACAATGGGTGTTATTTCGACTCTGGACCCAGTCATTCACTGAATGACCTTAGCGCAATCCTAATATATAGTATATATTATATAATATATATATACAATGTAGACCAAACAGAGATATGCAGTACAGGTTTGGAGGACCCAAGCCAACGGCCTTCTTTTCCGCACAGTCTGACTTCCGTTTAATCAGCTGTGAGCTGAAGGGGCAACTGCACCTCCCCCTCATCCCCATCCTCATCCTCATCACTCGCGGAATCCCCCTCAGGCAAACGCTGAAGAGTCACATCAAATCTCTTGAAACGTCGAGGCACCTGCCACGTCCCTGGGTTGCGCTCCTCGCGGCGCAAGTCTGGATCATATCTGTGCCTGAGAATCTGGTATGAATCAGGCCGTGGATGCTGGCGAAGGGTTCCAGAGACCCAATCCAGCAAGTAGCGTGCTGCTTTTTCCGAGAGTTCGCCCAACCGTCGGCATTTGGGAACCATCGTTTTCAAATTCTTGGTGACCTGGGAGGAAATGGACCTGTGGGGCGCTATCCCTGCTGGCGGAGCCATGCCTACTCTCATTTGTTTTGCTTGAAATGCTGTCACGAGTCCAATCACTCGCTGAACTGGCACATCATGAAGCCAACGTTTGGTGACTAGGAAGATGTCGTTCGGGTCAGGTGCAGCTCCACAGCCACGCGGGAAATCTTCAACTTCAGCAACATTATTCAATGTTTCTGCTCCAATATCTTGTCTCAAACAAATTCGCAGGTAGTGGACCCTGCGCATGCCCATGACTTTGATGCCGCACTGGGCAACCCACTCTTTCCAGCATGCCACCTGATCTAGTTTGCACGCTTCCGCTGAGCTCCCTTGTATGCGAGCAGTTGCCCTGTCAGGGTTTCGTCCAGCTGAGCGATTGATCAATTCGATCAGGTCCGAGGGACTGTCAAAACTCTTCCCTTGTATCAAGCGGGCGAGTTGCCCAAAACACTGATCCACATCTTCGTGTGAATGAGCTGTGCGCAAGAAGGCCATGGTGCAATATTTGAAGGAACCCTGTATCACCAATGCCAGTAGGTAGGTAAAGACATAAGTGTTTTTGCCCTCTCGTGGACAGTTGTCCGCTTGGACATGAAGTCCAAGCGGCAACTGTCTGCAGGAATTCACCAGGTCGGACGAGCATCGTGACAAGATCTCGATCTGGGTTTGTGAATCCTTTTTGCAGCTTTCATCTTGAACCATGAGCCACAGTTTCTTCCCATGGATCCAGCACGCACAGATGTGTAGACTTGGCCGGAAAAGTCGCTCCATTGTCTTTGTAAATCGCCCACATTGGCGTGGGCACCGCAGCTTGCTTTGGTCCATTCCGTCAATTATGACGCACAGTTGGGTGGCTGCTTGCATTCCGCGTGCCATCAGATTGCCCTGATCAAAAAACAATCGGGATAGCTTCCGGGCATTCCAATAAAACTGTCTGTCGAGCCATTGACTTAGCAAGTGCCGGGTATAGTTTCCGGTGGCTTCCTTTTTGGCGTCTTTTGTAGTCGCCTTGGCAATCTTTTGTCGAAGATGGTAGCACACATTGCACTGTGCAAAAGAACTTTTATCTCGGAAGTGGAGGTGTTTTGCGAACACTTGTTTCAGCAGTTTCATGAACGTTGTCAATGATGCAGGACGACGGTTCTCTGCGTCACATGTGGCAACGTACTGGTAGTACAGGTCAATTGGTTTGGCCCATTCGAGAAACCGTCTAGGCCCTTGAAAGGACCCAGGCCCCAGCTGCAACACATTACCACAGTCATAGTTTGCCTCTAGGTGCCGCATGAAGTTGCTGGCATATCGCTCTTCAAAATCTGGATCCCCATCTGTATGATGAGTGTCGTTCAAGTCAACTGGCATTTGTAGCTTGATGGGCAGGATCTCCGCGGCACTGGTGTAAATCAGCCAAAAGAAGAGCAATACCTCCGGCCACTTACAATTGTCTGACTTACGCTTCAAAGATACTTGGAGGGTTGGGTGTTTAGGTTCTTCCAAACGGTTCTCATGCATGGTATAGCCTGGAAGACCACCACGAAGCCTTTGCAAGACACCAGAACCAATTCCATACAAACGCTTGTGTGCCTGAATGCACACTGTCTTGTCGAGGAATGTCAGTGTCTTTGAGCTTCTTGCTGTGTAAGACCTTGTCCTAGCTTTCTTGGTTGGAGCGGCTGGTTCAGTCTCTGAATCAGTCTGCAGCAAAACATCACAATCTAAATGGTTCTCTTCTGACACTGTATCGCCATTCTCAAATTCGTCGTCTGTCTGCAGCAACAAATTGTTTGAAGCTTCAAACTCATCGTCTGTTCCGTACATGATCGAATCTTCACCATCAGCTTGAACTGCAGAAGAGCTACCCGAAGTGCCTGGCCAAAACTCCTCGCCAGAAATGCCTGCTATGTTGTACCATTCCCGTACCAATTGCTCCTGAGTGTGTCTTTTGTTCAGACAAGAATTCAACTTTATGTTGGCTATGGCTTCAGTACAGTAATAAAAAAACATTTGTTGAAAAGGCTAAATACTATCTCCCAAGGATCTTTGCGAGAATCATCCAACTGATGGAAAGATCGTCGACGTTCATTCACTTCCCGCTCAAAGCCCTGAAATTGCTCAAAGCAGCTGCCTCGGGTACACAGACACCTTCTGTGCACCAGATCTGACACCCTCAAGCCAGATGGCATTCCATAGCAAGCGCGGACGATAACACTGAGTGTATGGACTAGATGGCATAATAAAAGTCAACAACTTGGAGAACTTTATTTTGTTAAACATATGTTACATAAATAGGCTACATGGCCTGTCGCTTGAAATCAACGGAGCTATTTATAATTCAGATTCTGAGCAAACTCAGCAGCCCGGGAAGCATCTTGAAACATGAATGAAGCCCCCCCTTCCAAACTGCTCTCCAGCTTCCCCCCGTCGCTCCTTGCTGCTGGCTTCTTTGCCACTTTTCTGGCTGCTGGCCGCCGCAGAGCACTAGGGCGCTTCATCCCAGACGGTGTGCACACAAATCCCGAGCTTGAGTTGGAAACGTCTACTGATAGTCATACTTAACCAAAAGACCCTGATGATGAAAAGACTATCTTTTGCTTAAGCTCATTCTAATTAAACATCTGCAATTCATGGCAAGCTGTGCAACTGCTTTGCAGGCGCAGAGCCTGATGCACCAATTCCCAAGAGAGTTCCTGGATTGGTCTTTCGACGACTTGGAGAAACTGAAGGATCAGGTCGGCAAACAGGGAGACCGTGCAAGGCTGGCGCTGAAGTTGATTCTAAGCAGACGCTTTGACAAGCCCAGATGAGCCAAAAGAGCTTCAAGCCGTTAAGCCGGAGCAAAAAGGGCTCTCAGCACTCCACTGCGCGGACTGTGAAGTTGAGAAAGTAGGTGGATGGTAGATAGCTGTACTGCTTCAGTGCTTTGACAAAATGCAGATACCCTGGACTCCTGGACATGGTCAATGACAGGTGGTCGGCTACGCCACAGATCCCTCCGTCCCTGCGGTGGAGCAGTTGGAAGCTTGCTTGACCGGGTGCAACCTGGTCCTCATCCCAGCTGGTGTGGCTTGTCAAGAACACGAGTGACCAGGGACCGAAGACGAGCAGAAGACCATCCTAGTCTTCAGCAGAAGCATGCGTAAACCATGTCAACTGACAATTGGAGGTCGTCCCTTGCATCCCCCAAACAAGGCAGATGTCGTTGGAATTTTGGGAAGTCGAACCCCCTTGGTGACCGAGCTGTATGCAGAAGGGTGCTTAATAAGCACTTCAACACAAGGTGAGGCTGCAGTTGAATGCAGGTGACGTTGCGATCAATTCCAACGCAAGAATGATTGTAGAGAGGCGAACACAGTCTCAAAAAGGAGAGCTTTCTGCTTGGACACCCCCGCATGATCGGTGGGAGTCGATTTGGAGTTCGACTCTCAAGGACTTAATTCGCTTCAAGGGAGTTGGTCACCGCTTAGCTGGCCCAGCACACCTGGGGAGTTGGTTCCCATGGCTGGCCTCGGCTGTCCTCTGAGATGCCTCGGAAGCCCGGCATGACGCGGGACGACCTCTTCAACGTGAACGCAGGCATCGCCAAAGGCGTTGTGGAAGCTTGCGCCAAGTTCTGCCCCGACGCAGTGCTTCGGCAAGGATCCAGAAGAGGCCTTTTTTTGTTGGACAACCCAAAGAAGGGTCTGGTGGACAAGACACTGCCCCAAATAGATGGACTTTAGGTGCACAGCCTAAATCTACTACCTCTCGGTTGGTCGGGGCCTATTGAAGACAAACAGGGCAATGAGGGGTGTCCTGCGTTTCCCTTGACATCTGCGAACAAGCCTCCACAGCCAAACAAGTCCCGCAGGTTTTGACCAAAAAGAGCATGTTTTGGTGCCTCTTCGCTTGGCGAAGGAGACTTTGGCCGTAGAATCTAATTAGCCTAGTAGCAAGGACGCTATTAGGTGGAGGCCATCGCTAGTAGGTTGGAGGCCATGGCTACTAGGAACAAGAAGCTCCTGGGAGCAAGAAGCTAGTAGCTCCTGGCCTTCCTACTAGTAACAAGAAGCTACTAGTTGTTTTCGCAGCTTTCTGAGGTGGTGGGCCTGATTGTGAACCCAGCTACCTGGCAGTAGGATTCGAGGGCTTGGGTCTCTGGGTGTGATCGTGACACATACGTGAAGAACAATGAAGAACACCACTCAACTACGTTGAACAACTCAACTATGTTGTTTGGTCTAAACAACTGGCTCTTAGTTCTCAGTCGAGCTTGAAAAACAGGTAAACCTGGTGTGGACTTGGTCTGCAGGTCCCATGGAGGAAGCAGCCAATGGGAAGACTTTGGTCGAGTGGGGTCCGAGTCGAACGAGGTCTCTCGTCTGATCCCCGGGGTTCCACGACTGGGCTCGGCCGCACGATTTGGGGTTTGGATTTGGGGTGGAAGGCCTCGTTTCGCCAAAACGATGAGGCTTTTCTTGGAGGCGAGTCTTGAGGTGTCGTGCTCTAGGTACCAGATCCATTTGAGGAATAGACCGTGCAAGGGTCAAGGGCCGAGGTGAATCGTTTGATATGATATCACCGCAGCATGTTGAGGAAGCACTTCCTTTTACCCACAATCATAAAGGAGGATTTGTTGTAAACACTCTTGCAGAATTGTCATTGAAATACCGATAGATAACTACCTAGGACCTAGCCAGTGTTGACACGTTCCTTTCTTCTGGAGACTGACCGACCTCTTATCAGTCCCATGAGATTGTGCAAGTGTCATAAGTCTTGACTCTTCTAAATGCTTCTCACCCAACAAGTCATGACTGCTCTTCCAGGTAAACTCAATTGTTCCAGCAATGGCAGAGCTCTACAAGAAAAAAGGCCTGCTCCTCAGTGTAGTTGCCAGACTTCGCAACAAGGTGCCTGGCTGCCACAAAGGTTCCGGTCGTCGCTGTTGACCGGCCACCTTTCAACTGGATCTCCGTTGATTTCGGCGCGTTCGGCGGAGGTTTGGATCCCTTGAAGATCGTGGGAGTGACCACCTTGGACATTGCCCGGATGCCTGGAGGTTCCTGCTGGCGAAGGGAGGCGAAGAGGTGCCAAGAAGGCATGGTTTTATTTATTTGAATTTAAGAGAAGGCAGGGCTGCAGATCTCCACACACAAATGGTCATTGAGACTGCAAGGCAGCTTTTCTTGGGTCCACCAGAAGTTGTGACGGAATATTTTCTCTCACCGCTTAGCTCTAACCACTTCACAGTTGAAAAGGCAGTTCCATGAGTTTCATTGCCGCGTGATTGGGTGCGCTTTGGAGAGGACGTCAGGACGGCACCGCACGTATTTCTCGGGTCGAGAGGTGTCGTCAAATCCACTCCGTTGGGCTCTCTCTCTCTCTCTCTGTGTCTGTCTCTCTGCCTCGCCAATCGTCTTGACTCCTTAACATGACTCGACCAGGTCCAACCCTGTTTTGGGATGACGGGTCTTGACATTCGCCAATTTGACTGATCTTGCCATTGGTGAGGCAGGTCGACCAAGACCACAGCTCTTCGAAATTTGCACGGCTTGGCTGTAAGATACCCCATGTTTTTGAATCCCCTCAAGAACGAGCCGCATCTATATCATAGGTGGCCCAGTGCGCCGAAGCTGCTTACCATCCTTTGCTGTTCCTGGCCGTGCCCCTGTGCCCCTCTTGGCCCAGAGGTGAGGGCCAACAAGTTCGTGGCGGAGATCACGGGGAAGTCTCCCAAGGATATCGAGGTCCCTGTGATTGGTGGCCACGCGGGGGTGACGATCATGCCGGTCTTCTCTCAGGAGACCCGGATGTGCACAAAGACGGGTGCACGGTGACCGTGAAACGAAGACAGAAAGGACCAAACGGAGAATCGTCCAACGAAGCTGAAGGAACTCTGGCACTTGTGATGTTTTCAAGGTGTCAATTCTTGACTCAAGCCCCAAAGCGGCGATTCACGCCAGGATCCTATCTCTGCAACGATCTCTGCCGACAAGTGCCACGGTGGACAGCAGCGGAGATCCTACCAAGATCTACCAACGGGGAGTTCTTCCTTTCAAAAGTTGGATATCCTACCAATTTGGATACCTTGTGGTAGGATATTTCTTCCAACAACTGGATTTCTTATTGATTCACCTTGTGACCTCACAGATTGCGTTTGTTCTTTTTGTTTGCCCTTGCGGCGGGTGCGCGGCTTGCGTTTGTTTCGGGTGTGCCACCCTTCCCAAGGATTCCAGCGTTGGACAAGCGCACGCAGGATGGTGGAACCGAGGCGCTCTGGAGAGAAAGGAGACGTTGGAAACCGGAATGCGATGCTCGCATACGCAAAAAGAGGCGTCCTTCAGAAGATATGCCTTTTTTGGTGGTTGAGGTTGGATTTGGGCAGCCGAGTTTTAAATGTATTCCATCCTGCCGGATTCGATGCTGGCCTTCCTCACCCTCATGTCGATGCTCAGCATGGCATGCGAAAATGTCGTCCTGTTGGAATTCTATTATTCTTTTAATGCACGTGTGTGTTCCTTTTTTCGTCCGTTTTCCACAGCAGTATCAAGCATTGTGCATACAGTCTCTCCTACGATTCATTCGCACCCTTCTCGATGCCGTTCTGCTATTCCACCGCATGTTCTGATGCCGTGCACCTCGTCTTCGTTTCACCACCAAGGGTCATTGGACAGCCAAAATGATCAGAGCCTTGCCCAAGTCCAGACAAAACTGCCAGGTGGTTGAAGCCAAAGCTGGGAAGGGCAGTGCCACCTTGTCCATGGCCTACTCTGGTGCGCGCTTTGGAAACAAGGCCGGCGACATTTTTTCCCGTCGTTCGTGGGCTGTGACTTCGTGTACGAGATACGATTGTGTTGCCCCAGCCGTAGTGGCCTCGCATCTAGCTCAATGGCCCTTCGCTTTGTGGCAAGATCCGTTTAGTGCTATTTCTTGGTCCTTGGTTTGCTCGAACTTCCTTGCTATTACTCTCACCTTCCTGTGTGTGATTCTGTAGGAAGACGACATGTATTTTGTGAAGTACCAAGATCCCAAATTCCTAAAGCAATCCCTACTTGATATGAAGAAGAAGCAGGGAGTCCCTACACATAGGTCCGAGGTCCAGTCAGCTCAGCCAGCTTGTTGGAGCATGGTCTAAACCCGCGGTGGAGGACCACTGCTGTTAAAGGAAGGACTTTGGCATCACCTCAGAAAAGGAACACCGTGAATGCTACACGATTCAGCGGCTAAACGTGTGACACGACCAATGTCCTCCGTCGATGTTGGACTCGTCCTCCTATCGTGCAGGTGTTGGCGGGGCTTGCAGGCACCCCAACGGACGAGTGCGCCTATGTGGCCTCGAGCGTGACAGAGCTGCCCTACTTCTCTTCCAAGGTCGGACGTGCTGTCTGTGCAACACTGCCAGCGAGGTGGTGAGGGAACACCCTGGTGAGCCTGCCAGGTGACCTTCGGCAAGACTGGGGTTGAGAAGATCCATGACATTGGCACTCTGAACAGTTATGAGCAGGGCAGACTGAAGGAGGCGCAGTGACGCAGTGTCTGGAGTTTCGGAGGTGTGGGGTCGTGTATGGGGAGTTTCAAGAAGTGCAACTACATGCTTTTAAACTGAGAGTAGAAACGCGCAGGTGATAAAGCAGCCGCCTTCCCTTTTCATCCTGTTTGCGTAAAGAAAGGACACCCTCAGCTGTTCACATTGCCGGGAAAACATTCTTTTGTCGGTGGATTGGCTACATGGGCACGTGGCATTGTCATACGGGTGCCTGCGTGGCTTAGGAGAGGGGTGCGGTGCCTGCCTGCAAACAAGAAATGCGGGGCAACTAGCTTCACAAGTTTGTCTCACAAGAGTTTGCCAGCGACATGTGCAGGTCAGCAACACTTTTCAATAATACTCACAATCTCTTGTAGATAGACTCTGCCATGTGAGGTTGTTGGTGGTTGAACATGTGCTTCCCTTGAGATATCCGAGCGATGTGAAGTCATAGGCCATGGACCAGCTGAAGACGGAGATTGACAAGGGTTTGGACTATGCGAAGTCCAACTGCTGAGACGAACGTGCGATTCCGTGGGTACCGATGTTTCTCATTGCTTCAAGGCTTTGTGCCAGGTTTCGGACTCATTTTCAAGTCACTGGGAAATGCCGCGGCGACTTGCGCAACAGACGATGCGGAAAAGACGGAGCCGGCTCTGAAGTCTTCTCTGTGGCGCACACCGAAAAGTGTTCAGCCAGTTTACAGGACATGACTGGGTTTACAGGACATGACTGGTGCCAACCTTGCTTTTGGTAACTGCCAGTTTTGGTGCATGCCTCTTAGTCCAGGCCTCACGCGACCCCTATGGCAACCCTTTCCATGTTTTAGTATTCCTTCAAGTGCCTTTTTGGCCTCATCGTTCGGTTCGACTCGCAGGCGAGATCCAAAGGCGGAAAGGTGCGGGGATCCGACCATCACGAGAGGGTCGCATCGTCGCATCGTTCCATCTTTGGGGCAGTTCGAGCCAACGTGGCGTTTCACCGTAGAATCCATCCAGTTAACGGCAGCTTCAAGCGCAGCGCAACGTATCCCTGGTGCCAATGTCTAAAGAAATCAAACAAAGGAGGCCGAGTGCGAGGCCGAATTCGTCGGAGGATCCCAAAGTCATTGTGTTTGTCTTTGGCAAAGTCTCAGCAGTCGGTGGTATTGGGTGGCAACGAGTCAATTGCAGGTCTTTTGCTACTGCGCCAAGGGCATTTCTCGCAGCTCTAGCCTCGTGATCGCTTGGGTTGCCAAGAGTGACGGATAGCATGGGCTTAGCGGCTTGAAGAGGGATGAGAAAGTGGTTTCAGATTCCTTCCCAGGGTGCCCTCGAATAGGTACAAATACAACTAGACTCCATACTGCAGGATGGTGAGTGGCAAGCTCCAAGGGGCCAGGAATGGGACTGAAAAGCACCCAGTTCTGGTGACTCAAGTGAAGTATAGGGATGAACCATCCGACCAATTTGGCGCCTTCTTTCCTCGTCTTGAGTGTCAATCAAGGGCGGGTTCCATGTGATGGAGTCTATGGTCAGGCCGTTTACGCCATCGCTGGTCAGCCCCCGACTGAAAGCCACGGGCTCCATCGTGGCCTCGGCGTATTGACCTGAGCGCTCTCGGCCTCGATGCTGTGCCATGGCAGTCTCAAGAGGCAAGGAAGGGGAGGAAGGGCGGGATCCTCCCAGTCGGCAGGTTGTAGCGCAGGGTTCCGAAGATCTATGTGTTGCGGGTCTGGAAAGTGGAGGATCCTGAAACAGTGGATTCATTGAATCACGAGCACAGAGGTTGGACCCAGAAAATCACTCATGTCGCTGCACGTCCACCTCTTCTTCTGTCACAGAGATGTTCAACATGTCAGTCCACTGATCGCTTGTAGGAATGCATTGGAATGTGCATGAATCGCTGAATCGCCGTGACATTGGGCGTGTCCTTCGTCTCGCGCTGCTCGGTGGCACGGGAAAGGGTGCACGGGAAAGTGGTTGCCGAAGCAGCAATCCGAGCCATCCGGTGGGATGATGAGGTCTGTGTACTTTGGAAGGAGCAAATGCAGGAAGGGTCACAAAAGAGTGAAGTTGATTAAGTCAGGAACGGAGACTCAGAAGGGACATAGTTGCTTAAATGGATTTCCCCAAGTCCTTCAGACCATCCGATGGACTCAGGCGCTGCTGCCTGGTGACCTTGATCGCCTGGCAGCTGAACTTTCTTTTTCGAGGCGAGGCCGGGCGACGCGTCACCAACGATCAGTCGACACGTCACGGCCTCGAGGCGGAAGACATACGAAGACGAGAGCAGATATGACCAGCCATGGTATTGGCAGAAACGCTGATATGTGGTTCTTACTTATATGGTATTGGCCCACTTTTGTGTTTGGTCGCTTTTGAGATTTTTACTCCACGACCCGTGTGACATGCTTTTCATGTCTGAGCGTGGTGTTGATACATGGCCCTTCCGCTAGGCCATGTGGGACAGGTGTTCGGACGATGCAAGCCACGTACGACGATGCTCTGCTACAAGGATGGATAGGGTTGCGCCAGGACAGCGGATCACGCACAACCGTAGAAGATTGACTATTTCCAGGACTTTTCCTAGGGTGTACTTTTTCCTCTTCCAAGACTACTTTCTAAGTCGCTTGACGGTGACTCGCGTTCGTTCACGGTGATAGACCACCGAAGGCATCTTTTGTCCGAGAAAAGTCCGAAGGTGTTTTGGACTTGTGTCGTTGAGGGTTATGAGCCCAAGCATCGACTGCCACGCGTAGGGTTGGAGCCATGGATCGAGCCAGGTCCCTTCCGCCTTCGAGTGAGGCGATGGTCAATCCCTGGTGGTCTGACAAGTGTAAGCTGGAGGCGATGCTACAACACCGCCGACCGGAGGATTTGCCGGTACCAGCCGACGAGGACCTTGAGGTCGAAGCCGACGCTGTGCAGGATAGCACAATGGGCTCGGGTGGCTCTGGAAAGGGACGAGGGACATCGTCTCTCCATGGTCTGGTTGGTGGTCGCTTGTTTGTGACACCCCCAAGTCATCGCGGCAGCACCGAAGGTCGTGGTTTGGGCAAGCAAACTGAGGGGGCAATGCCTCCGAGTGGTGATGGTTCGGCTCCATCGAAGGCTGAGACCATGGGACCTGTGCCACCGAAGCACAGGCCTTCTCGATGCTCCGAGGAATCCGATGGGCGGGGGCTACAACGGGCCTTGGAGGCTGAGATGGTGACCTTTTTGAGGGATCAGAATGAAGCCCTCACCAAGGAACTGGAAAAGATGAAAAAGCAGCTAGCTGGTTCTAGTGGGGCTCCTTCTACAACCCCGTCATCGTGGGAGGTCATGGATGGTGTGGGGGGAGGTCAGCCTCAAGAGAAAGGGGTTCCTGAGCGACATCCGCCTCGAACGCCCCGTGGTCGAAGTCCTGCAGCTCGCAAGTCGTCGCATGGTGTGACAAGGTTCACACCGAATGGAACCCAAGTGCCTCCGGATTCTCCGCCGCAGAGCAAGTCCTTTGCACTGGATCTCCTGGTGCCTCCGTTTCCACCTCCGAGTGCCTTGGCTGAACAGTGTGACCTGGCAGGGTATGAGTCGGTGGAGTTGCATCGACGCCGCAGCGATGACCAGTGGCTGCCCAAGCATCTTCGGGAGGGAAAGGCTTTTGTTCCTCGAGGAAGGTCTGCAGCTGGAATTGCGCCTCGGCTTGAAAGATCGAGTGATGATCTTCCTGCAACTTGGCCTGAGCCAGGGTTCACTGGTGTTCATGCATCTCGGCCGAATTTAGTGGCAGCAGATGATGCTCGTGCCGCTCGGCTGGAAAGCGAAGTGCAAGTGCTCCGTGCTTCCTTGGAGCGCCTGCAGCGGGAATCCAAAAGTGGCAACATGGCTTCAAGTTCTCATGATGCGCATGCTGCACCTCCTACGGGTTTTGTGGGGCTCCATGGACCTGACCTACAGGAGTTTGAGCATAGCAGTGGTGGGGGATGTCATACAGTTCAAGGGTCTGCTTGTGTACCTCCTCCTAAACCTGCTGGTGTATGTCAACCCTGGGTTTCGTTGCATGATGATCGCCCTCAAAGTCCTGAACTTCTGGGAAGTGGTGGGTATGGTCGTTGGCGCGGTGATGATGCCTCGACGCCTATGCCCTTGCCCTGGAATGAAGGTGTAAGCAATGGCAAAGCAGAGCTCCCAGAGTTATCTTCGGAAGCCTCACCGCTGGAACTCGGCGATTGGTTGCAGGTCTGCGGACCGGTCCTGAGAGACATTTCTCAGGTGAGCGCTCGATGGTGGAACCTGACACTTCGTGAAGCGCACTGTTACTATGATCGGTGGAAAACAGCATCACTGTTGGAGCGTGTGCAGATCGACCCCAAGCTCCCTGACGAGTTGCTGGATGGCCGCTATCAGCGGACAGAACAAAGGGGGGGTGAACCTCTTGCTTCGATCCATCCCCTCGGATCAACAACAGGCCCTGATCACGGCCAGAGAGCTGACATCCACGGCTCTCCTGTTTCGTTTGCTGGTGCGCTATCAGCCAGGTGGCTCGGCTGAAAAGGCCATCTTGCTTTCCAAGCTCACGGTGCTGGACAAGAACAATGGGGTTGTGGAGCTTTCAGCCGCCCTTCGTTCATGGCGCCGACACTTCCGACGAGCTCAAGAAATTGATGCAGTCCTGCCTGATGGCACTCTTCTGCTGAAAGCTTTGGAGCATGCTTGCTCTCAGGTAGCCGCCCTGGACACTCAAGCATCATTCAGGCTGGCTCAAAGTCGATTGCAATTGGGAGTTGATCAACATCCTCACCATCAAGCTGTATGGCGGTTTAGCCAATGTTTGCTGGCGGAGGCTGAAACCCTGGCTCTGATGAACGCCACTCCGTCGGTTTCGACCACTCCAGTGAAGGTCAAGCAGCTTGAAGGGCCGAACAAATCTCCGGCTACTGGTGGGCCAACTCCGTCCGAAAAAGGCAAAGGCACCTCGCAGGCATCTACACCTTGTCGGTACTTCAGATCCGATACTGGATGCAAGGCTGGCCGAAGCTGCAAATGGTCCCACTCCTGGGATGGCGTGGAGGACAAGGCGATCAGGTGCTGGATTTGTGGTGGAAAAGATCATCGCAAAACGGATTGCAAACTCAAAGCACATGGCAAACAAGGGCTCTCGAAGGAGGGCAAACCTATGGGTGAGCCTGCTGGCTCAGGGGGAGGAAAGTCGTCTTCAAAAGCGTTTCCTTCGACTACAGCATCCACAACTGGTGGCAACAGCGGTGCAACCAAGCCGAAGCTCCAAGAAATGGAAGGCCCCGTTGAGGGTCAAGGAAGCCCTGTTCCAGAAGCTGCAACAACAGGCGATGGAGGAAAGGGTGGTGAAACAGGGGCTACATCGACAACAAGTGAGGCTTTGCTCCAAGAGGCCACCAAGTTGCTCAAGTCTTTGCGGGCTCCACAGTTGAGAGTCATTCAATTGAGCCAACTGGAATCAGATCCCAATGGGATGATGGTGTTGTTGGATTCGGGCGCAACTCATGCCCTTCGGCCGGCGTCAAGCCAGATGGAGTGGGAAGCTGCCAACCCCACACAAGTCACCTTAGCTGATGGAGTCACAACAAAGCTCAGGTTGAAAGCCGACTCCAAGATTTTGCTGTCCAATCCCATGGATGAAGTCCTGAGCCAATCATGGATTGTTCCGTTGGGCGGCATTGCGGAGCTGGGCTACAAGTTCGCATGGAAAGGGGCACAGTGCGCCTTGCAAGACGAACATGGCCGAGAGCTGATCGTCTATGTTCAACATGGTTGCCCTATGGTGTCTCGCCAAGTTGGAAAAGAAATGATTGACTGTCTTGAACGCCAGCAGGTGCGACTGGTCAAGAAAGCCCTCTTGCTGAAGTCGATGATGATGGACCCTTCGTTGGCATCGTTGGAGGCGGTGAAGCATTCCACTGAGATGGCCTTGACCTTGAAGTTGAAAAATCTGTTCCCGGAGCTCCCGGACGACATCCTGATGAAGGTCATCCCCGATCTCTCAACAGATCAGGAACTAGATGGCCATACGCTTCCGTGGAACCGGCACAAACGCCGAAGACTTCAGCAGGCCAAGAAGATCGTGCTGCATTGTTTCTCAGGGCCCGACCATCGGTTCTGGGAGAAGAAGCTGTCTGGTGGTGGGGTGGAAGTCCTTTGCATTGACCTATGCGGCCCTGTTCCTGCAGATTTACATGATGCCCACGTGTTTGGCTTTGTGCTCTCCCTCGCAGCATCTGGCAGGGTCAAAGCATTGCTGGGTGGCCCACCGTGCAGGACAGTTTCCGCCTTGAGATATCAAGATGATGGCGGTCCTGGGACTGAAGAATACCCCTATGGTGTCCCGGGCCTCACAGCTGCTGAACAAAGCTTGGTCACTGGTGACAGTATCTTGTGGTTCAGGATGCTGGCGATCTACATGTTGTGTGAAGATGTTCGGTTGCCGCAGGAACCACCGACAGCGCTGGCCATTGAACAACCTGAAGATCCAGCTCGGTACAGGTCGGCTGAGGAGGTCAAGAGCAAAGGGTTCATGGCAGTTTGGCGAACCAAAGAATGGCAAACATTCGCAACAAGGTACAAAGTTCGCCTGCTGCATTTCGATCAGGGTCCAATGGGCCATGTGAAAAGAAAGCCTACATCTCTGGCAGTGGTGATGAACGAGCTTCATGTGCTGGATGGCGTGCGCGGTCCTCCAAGTGGGGATCCAGATGAACAGCATGGCCGTGATCGTCGAGAGATGACTCTTCAAGAACGATGTGATGATTCCAAAGGCTGGGCGGCCTGGGCTCCTGGATTGAAAACAGCTTTGGTGTTGGCAGTGCAGGGTCAGTTGCGCAAAGGTTCAACTCCGTCTTTGGAGCAGGCGCTCCGACCTCTTGGCCCAGTGGCGTTGGAAAGTTGGCGCCAGCACTATCTCAACGATCACATGCCTGCTCGACGAGATTGCCGTGATTGCGTTCGCACTTCGGCCAGGAGCAAACCCCATAGAAAAATCACACATCCTGAAGCTTACACCTTGAGTGTCGACCTGTCCGGAAAAATGGTGACAGGTCAAGATCAAAATCGCCATGATTGTCGCTATATGTTGGTGGCTGTCTACACATTTCCCGTCGACCGCTCTGGCAAAGCTCTGGTCGAGTTTGCGGGGGAGTCGAAATCAGAAGAGCCACCATCTGTTGACCTGGAAGAATACACCCCCACTGAGCCGGATGGTGATGATCCCGGCGAGGATTTGTTGGTGGCTGATGAAGAAGCAGCTGATGAGGGTCCGGGGGAGGGAGGACATGCTGCTGACGAAGCGGCCTCCGTCAAGAAGGGCCGAGCTGCGCTTGAAACATGGCAGCAACGGGTGGAAGAATCCCAGGATGTGGCGGTTAGAAATGTCACGTTTGTGGAGGTGGTGGCTGGGCGGGCAGTTCATCATGTACTTCCTGCACTTGCTCGCATCTATGCAAGGCTTCGCTGTCTTGGTCTGCCCCTGTACCGGCTCCACAGCGACAGGGCCCGTGAGTTGATCTCAGCTCCAGTCAGAAGGTGGACGCTGGACCGAGGCATTTTGACCACTCTCACCACCGGCGACTCTTTCAAAGCCAACGGCCGGGTAGAAGGTGAACTGGGCGTGATCAAAAAGCACGTCCGAACCATCATCAGCACAACAGGTTTGGGGCTGGAGCACTGGCCTTTGGCAGCCATCCACATCGGAGAACGCAGGCTCAGAGGACAACTTCGCAGCCTTGGTCTTCCCGTGGGTCCCATGCTACAGTTCGGATCCAAGGCATACGCCTTAAAGAAGTCCTGGCAAGACCGCTACCAACCATGGCGGGAGATTCGCGATGAGGTGATAGTCCTTGGTCCAGCTATGCAGAGTTCAATCACCAGCACAAGCTATTATGTGCAGTCGGTTGAAACCAAGAGGTTTTTCTTCACAGACGATGTGGTGGTTCCCATGGCAAATCAACCTGAGGCTGGCGAGATCTGCGCCTATCTTCCGGAGCTTGATCATCCGCTTGATGCTCCAAAATGGGACGGCAATGTTCCTCGGCAACGCCTTCATGAAAAGACGGCCATACCACAAATATCCATGATTTACATGGAGGGGGAGATGAGTGCTCGTGTTCAAAACTGGCTATGTGACCATCGTGCTCTGTTTGATGTACATGCACCCAATGATCCAGAGTTGAACAACCTTGAGATCAGCTCTGACAGTTGGACGATTGAGACTCCTGAAAGGACGCCAAGTGACGGCTCTTCCCAGGGGACTCATGAAGAAGCTCATGAAGAGTTGGTGCAGGAGGAGGACCGGTATGGAGGAGGGGAGTGGGAGGAGGCGCCCAACAACCAGGATGGTGGCTCACGCCTGGTGGCCTCGATTCAAGGCAACGTCCCTGGGAGAGTTCCGATCACACGGGTCCAATTCATTCGGTCCATGCAAGCCAACCTGGCTGATTATGTGAGTGAGGAGTTGGGTCATGTCGACATCTCCAATCCTGACCAAGGGTGCTGTATGGATGTGTTGGCAAGAGCCGTGGTGCAAAAGATTGAGGCGGAGGACATCTTGCTGCAACATCATCATGATGGTGAAGTCCTCCACCAAAAGGAGCTGGAGGAGGAATTCCTGGTCACAAAGACCGTTAGCTCTCGTGAAGTTATGGAGGATTTTGAGAACTGGATCCCATCGATCACTGCTGAGTATGACCAGCTGGTCCGCACGAAGGAGGCTGTTGAGCAGGTTGAGAAGCGGGCTCTTCAAGAGCGGGCTGAACGAGAAGGGAAAGTCATTGAACTCCTTCCTGCAAAAATGGTGTACACCCGAAAGTCGGGTGCAGGCGCTCGACGCGCACGAGCTGTGGTGTGCGGAAACTACTCCGAGTCCCGTTTCAACGACGACTGTTATGCTGGAGGTGCTGATGGTTGTCAAGTGAGGGCAATGGTCCGCACCGCTGCCTTGAAGAACTGGGCCATAGCAGCAACAGACATTCGAGTTGCCTTCTTGAACGCCCCCCGTCGTGAAGATGGCAAGCTGGTCGCGATGGAGATTCCTGCAGTCTACAAAAGACTGGGCCTGGCTAAAGAAGGGGAAGTATGGTTGGTCAAGCTGGCCATGTACGGCCTTACAACATCGCCTCGTGACTGGTCCAAACACAGGGACGCCACTTTGCCACAGGTGAGCTGGGTGAGAATGAGAGGCAAGAGAAAGGTGCGAGGACACTTCTGCAAAACAGAGGATGAAAATCTCTGGCGCCTGGAGGAGGAAGACTTGAAGTCGGGGGAGCGCCATTGGACAGGATTGATGTCTGTGTATGTCGACGACATCCTGCTAGGTGGAGAAGAGGAGACTTTGAAGGCTGGGCTGATGTCTCTGCAGGCTACATGGGCCACATCAAGTGTGGAGTGGGCATCGGTTCATGATGCTGTCCACTTCTGTGGTTTTGAGATCACCTTGGATGAAAACGGCAATGGCCTGCACCTCTCCCAGCAGAAGTACGAGCAGGAAATCGTAGCTCGATGGAAGGTCAAAGATCCTGTGCCGTTTCCGCGCTTCAAGGTCTCCGAAGAAGACTACGAACCTTCATCCAGTGCTGACCGCAATCAGGTTCGAGAAGCGCAAGCATTGGCCGGCTCCTTGTTGTGGCTGTCAACGAGATCGTGGCCTGATCTTGCTTGTGGTGTCGCAGCCATTAGCCGTTTGATGACAAAGAATCCAGCCAAGGCCATTGAAATTGGTCATGTCCTCCTGGCTTATGTCAAAGGCAACCCTGGCGATCTTCACTATGCCAGGGAGATCCAACGAAAGTGGGGCGCCCGAGACCAATTGAAGATCCAGCGCCACGAAAAGCTCCTCGAAGTTTTTGCTGATATAGCATATGGAGCAAGTTCAAGTTTTCGCAGCATCCAAGGGCTGGTGATTTGCTTTGCGGGAGCTCCAATCTCGTGGCAGAGCTCAACACAACCCTTCATCACGCACAGCACCGCTGAAGCTGAGCTAGTCTCCTATTGCGAAGGGCTCACAGCTGGAAGAGCTACAGAAGCTTTGTTGTGTTCCATGTGGGGGGAGCGTCTGGAAGCCAACAATCCTTTCGAGAGGGTCATATATGGTGATAATGCAGCAGCTATTGGATTGGCCCATGGCAATAGTGCCTCCTCATGGCGAACCAGGCATTTGCGGGTTCGAGCTCATCTTCTCCGTGAAGCGTTGTCGGAGTCGGACTCGTATCCTGGAGGTCGATGGCAGCTATGTCATCTGAAGGGCACTGAATTGGTGGCCGATGGGATGACCAAGCCCCTTGCTGGCGCGAGTTTTTTCGGATTCCTTTCCGACCTTGGTGTAAGGCATGAAGAAGCTGCGGCCAGTGTGAGAAGGGTGACTATGGGTGATCGACATCTTCAAGTACATGATCGCTCCGCGGCTCTCCAAGCTTTGATAGTGGGAGGGGCGATGGTCCAAGCCGCTCAATCGGCTGAAGCTCAAGGGGCCCTTGACCCTGACTCGTCCTTCGACACCTTGTGGACGTGCGGCCTAGTGTTGATTGTCATTGGGGCAATCTGGGTGGGGAAGACAACAATCTCTTCCATGGGGTGTTGTCTCAAAAGATTGCATAAGGTCATCAGCGAGCCGTGCCATCCGCAGGATCGTGATGAAGGAGATGATAGTGATGGTCCTGAAATGCAGTGGTCCAGGAGGAGGAGTACAGAAGATGACACAACGCCCACGGAGGCGACCAGTCAAATGGAATGCACACCACGAAGTCCTGAAGGTGGTGTACAACGGCGGCTACGACAGAGTGGCCATGAAAGGGAAGAAAACACTTCAACGCGGACAAGTTCTATGTCGCGGCCTATGAAGCGACCATCGGGCTCGCAGGTGCATCAAAGCGCTTCATCAAAAGCCCCATTGCCGCGGTCAACTTCCGAGGTGACCCGAGCGGTCAGTGAAGCTGCCGAAAGTGCAGCACACGCTGCGGGCAGAGCGGCTGATGCCGCCATACAGGCAGCAGAAAGCGCTGAGAGGGCTTCGCGGGTGATCCACCGGGCAGTGGAAGCATCCAAGGAGAAGACATCATCTTCAAGGGTGGCTTCGTCAAGTGGTTCACCCGGTACACCGCCGATGAACCCATGGAATCGCTTTCAGAAAGAGCATTCCAAAAGGGGATGGGGAACAGAGAAGATGAGAGCGGAGTACTACAAAGCCAAAGCGGAAGGCCGCCAATAGAGTGATGCCTTGAGCTAGGCCAGGCTTTTGGCTTTCTCCTGAAATCACCAAAGAATTTGGTGAGGGGGAGTCGCTTGACGGTGACTCGCGTTCGTTCACGGTGATAGACCACCGAAGGCATCTTTTGTCCGAGAAAAGTCCGAAGGTGTTTTGGACTTGTGTCGTTGAGCTAAGGTTTCTACCTCGGCCTGAAGTTGTTGTGTGCAACTGATGTACGAATAGCCAAGGTTGGATTGGCCAGATCCTTCTTGGAGATTGCTCGGCCTTTGTTGTAGAATCTAGCAGTGGTAACACCAAGACTTTGCCCTACCAAGGTCCTGTGCCTGCGTGGCGGGGTGTCTCTATTTTTTGGTGTGAGGGGGTTCTTTTCTCCATTTCCCCACAAAGAAGAGGAAGGAGGGCTCAAACGCCTGAACCCCCTTGCCAGCACGGCTTGTACGTTGCTCCAGCCGGCTTTTGGGCTTCTTGGTGCTCAACTTGAGAAGATCGCCAGAATCCCTGGATTCGTGGGAATCAGTGGGGATTGCAGAATTCAAATTTGGTACATGTGTGAGCCCGAATATGGGGTCTTCTCATTCTTGGATTCAGGGACACGGGCGTCTCTCTTCAGGAGCTTCCTCTGCTGGATGAAGAGAGCAACTCGCTCTTCCTGCTACTGCGAGGAATGACCACTGTCACTGGGCAGATGGTAGACAAAACTCTCAAAAGCCACTCAGACAACTGGTTTACCAGTCCCAGTAGTCCCAGTCGAGTGCCTTACACCCGAGACGAGACCCACATAGAACCTGAAAATAAAACTGCAAGGAAGACTAGGTGACTAGCACTGACTAGCTGACCCGGCTGACCTTAACCATTGCTTATGACTACCTATTCCTTGTGGGTCTCTTCCACCAGGACGTAAGCCTTGGGTTTCTCAATGAGAGAACATCAAGGCATCTCCCTCTTTCACCTCGGTCCTGTCCCTCGGTCCGGACGTACAGAGAGGTGAGTTTCTGCCGGCCAAGCCCACCGCCGCTGCGGTGGCTCCAGCGGCGTTTGACCGCCGTGGTGGAGAAAAACCCTTGGCTTGGAGGGAAACTGCGTCGAGTGGAGGAGACATGGGAAGGAGGTATGCTTTTTGGGTGGAGGGACTGTTGGAGCATCTGGGATGTTGGGAATACCCAAAGGATTCGAAAGGACCCATAGGTCATCATAGGTCCATAGGTTGGATTTTCTTTAGCAAATGAAATGATTTGTTGAACCACATCCCCTTCCGCTTGCAATGCAGCACCTATCTTCAATGGCCAATGGTCTACCTCAACTGGCTCAACTGCCAGTGCTTCGCATGATGAGGTGCGACTCGGTTCCGACTGGTCCGACATACTCAGCGTTTGGCCAATCAGACTTGGTGCATTTTCATCTCCTCGGTGCACTCGAAATCCTCAGATCGCCCGGGTTTCCTGGCCACCGCCGGTGCCAGTGGGTGGCCACGTCGGTTTTCCGACGACTTGCTGCGGCCATGGGCCATCTGCGGTTTTTATCACGTTTGGAGCCAGAAAGATGTTGTGGGCCAACAGCCATGGCCTTGTTCCAAGGAAGTGACCACGGCCTTGTTCGCAAGGATTGAGGTGGAAGATTTAGTCACAGCTTCCACTGTGGCACAGGGACCTTGGCGGACTACACATCGCTTTGAGCAGTCAGCGGTGTCGTGCCCTAGCGCACCCGCATCCCTTGCTACAGGTCACGCCGCACATGGTGAGCGAGCGTAGAACGCCACAGGCCTGCAACGCAACGGGGGTGATCCGGAATGCACAGACCTATGATGTCAGCTGTGGGCTGTCCACGGCGTGCCGGTCTCGCTTTTCCCACAGCCCCCGTCGTTTTGGCCATCTCTCTAGGAGTCGGTGAGGCTGTGCTTTTCGGAGGAGGTCCTTGATGAGCGAAACCTGGCGTTGTCAGTGGAGGTCGTGGAGCGTCTCAGCGGAAACGACGGGAGACGTCGACCGGGAGAGCGGGATAGGTTTCAGAGACTGGACAAGCTGGAGACTGGACCGGCATGGTCATGGAGTTTTGGTGAAGTATGACTCATGACATTTTGCGATGCATTCTTTAGCCCTGAAGAGATGTTGAACACTCAGTTATATATTTTGTGGTGTCATCCAACTGATGATCACCCCTTCTCTCAGCCCGACTCGACGTCTCTGCGACTCGACGTTTCCAGCAACTCAGGCCCATGAACATCACTTCCAGCACTCCCTACGAGGTCATCAGCCAGCGGATCAGTGGATCTCCAGCTGAAGTGAGGCCCTATGCTCAAAAGCTATGACCATAGCGAGGTCATGTCGATCAATTTTCCCAGCTTTGAGTGTTCAGTCTTGCAGTGGCATAGAACAGGCACTTTTCGTGATAATGTTTATATAGTTAATTCCACATCGCATGTGTATGACATCAGAGTCTGATCAAGTCAATACTCCAATATCCTATTCTGCTCCGGGTTTCCAGGTCAGGGCTGGTGTGCCTGGAGAACTCCAGCGAGCCCTTGCTCCGTGTCTCTTTGTCTGGCCTGGGACCTTGGTAGCCGAATGGGAGGGAAGATAGGAATAGTTGAAGAATGTTGGGTTCGAGTTGAGCTGCGGACTTTTTGGATCACGGACGATCGCATCGGAGACGCGGAACAGCTGAACACTTGACGTACAACAACAAATGCTTGTGGCTGTGGGCTCAAGCATTTGTGCAAAAGCGAATCAGTCATTTCTAGATATTCCTAGACTCCAACTCCTCCAAGCAGACCATGGGTCAAAGCGCGGATGTTGCAGTTCTTGTCATCGATGGCAGCGAGGCTTCGTTGGCCACAGTCAAGTGCCAAGGCCAAACCTTGAGTTCAATTTCCAAGATTGCTCACCTTGAATCTCACACCACCTCGCGAACACGACGAGGTGGGCAGTCCGCCGCTCGGTTTGGGAGGTCCCGACAATTGGAAGAACTCGAGTTCCTCCGCAAGGTGGCTGCACGGGCAGTGCAGGAGTTTGGTGGGCCACGAAAGATTGACGCTCTGGTGCTCGCAGGGTCGGCGAACATGAAATTCAAACTCGTGGCGGAGTTACCTCCTCCCTTGCGACGCAACATCGCTGGCGTTTTGACCCTGAACTGCAATGCTGGCTGGAATGGACTTGAAAAAGTGGTGGCACAAATTCCTGGGGTCATGAAGAAGCAGGCCGAGATGTCAGCCAACAGCCTAGCAGGTGAATTCTTGAGATGCGTCCAGGACAGAAAGGATGCTGAACTGCTTTGCTATGGCGAGGCTGAAACAGCTAAAGCATTCGAGCTGGGTGCGGTCAAACTGCTAGTGGTCAGTGACATGCATACCAACTTGCAGCGGTGGTTGACTATGGCCTCTTCCCATGGGGTAGACGCCAGATCCATAGCGGCCTCCACACCATCTACCTCCCAATTTTGCGAAGGTTACCAAATTGGAGCGTTTTTGAGGTGGCCAGCGCAGCTGTCACCGGAAGAGGATTGCACGCAGTTTGACTCTGATTGTGAGGTCCACTCCGATTCTGAAGCTAGTACAGCAGCTCCCAGCATGTCTGAAGCCCTTCCTTGGCTTCAGCATGCTTTGCTTCTAGCTGGCCATGACGAGGCTTCGGCCGAAGCACTTGCAATTGGAGTGGACCTGGTTCTTTCGCACGACATGGGAACTCCGGAAGAGCGCTTCAATGATGCCTTGGAGCTCTTGCAGGGGGCAGATGTTCCGTCACATGTCTTGGAAGAGTTTTGCCTCCTCGTCGGCGACGTCTCCGATTTCTCGGACTGAAGGTCCACGCGTCTTCCGAACGGAACGGACACGGTGGGTGGTGATCGAGGACCCGCTCCAGAACGGTCAGCGCCATCGGTGGCGGCCTCGCCCTCAAAATAAATGACCTCGTTTAGGCAGTGTATTTCGCTCAGCGAAGCTAAGGAATGCTGGTGCAGAGAAGAAGTTCTGCATTTGGAAGCTGTCGACACTTTGTGAGATGGTCCAGAGAGGTCTAGAGTCTAGAGACGTCCAAGGCCTTGGGTAGGTCCTGGGTCGATTTTCGGAGTCAAGTCCTCTGTATCTTCTGTCCTTTGCACTTTTGGCAGTGGATTGAACTGCAGAGCAGGGGCTCCTGAGTGCCAAGTCAAAGACATTTGGATTTATATGGCCACCGTCAATTTTTGTATGTACAGTGTACAGAAGCGGTGGCCAGCAGAGACTACTGACTTGTACAGGATCGTTGTCGATGTCTTCTGACAAGAAAGCAGTTCCAAGTATCCCTTGTAGCCTTGTCGCGGGTGAAGGCGATCCTTCAATTGTCCAATTGTCCTTGTTTGCTTTAATATAGATTTTCAGATGTCATTGGTGGGATGTTAAATGAAGGGATCAATCATCCCCCCTTTGTATTTGGAGAGCCGTTTGGAGAGCCAGTTGCAGGTGCCCAAGATCCAAGACAGAAACCGACGGACACCACGGACTGAAGGACTTAGGAGGATTTTCCATTTGCGCTTGCAACCTCTTGCAATGCTACATTTATCTAGACATTTTCTAGAAACAAGACTCAAAGACTCAAAGCCGCAGAATTTGGGGCTTGACTCTGTATGGTCCGCACGCCAAACACTCCAAAACGGGCAACTCTCAGTGGTGAGAAACGCTTGTTTGAGAAACTGCCCGGCACTGTAGGCTGTAGGGGACCTCCCGGCAGGGTTTTCTTGCATGTTCGGTTATCATGAAGCTGCCGATGCTGAGATGGCAAGCTGAACGAGTTCGCACTCGTGGTCTCGATCTCGCACATCATCGCAGATGGGTGGCTCGCTGAGGTCGAGGTCGGCACTCGCACCATCGTGAGAGGGTCATGTGGGCGTTCGTTGGCCATCCTTATAGGGGGTGCTCCGTGGGCCACGTGTTGACCTGTTTCTTTCAGATGGCTGATCTCTCACCACCCGGTGAGAGATCTGGGGACCCGTGGACCGAGGCCCCAAGGTATCCGCAGGTGCATGACATGGGGCTGACCTCAGTCATCTGACAGAGAATGGGGCTGACCTCTGAGCATTGGAGTCTTTTCGCAGAAATTCAGCCGAGGCACACGTACTACAAACTCTTCAGTATGCTGACCCAGGATGACCGCGTTGCCATGCTCCGTGGGCTGCGGCTAGCATGGGCTTGCAATTGCAATCCTCTTTGGGTCAAAAAAGAGTTTCCGAGCTTGGACATTGCCGTGCGGGTAGAGCCCACCGTGCGGGTTCATCCTAAATAACGCATCGCTTTTGGAGTGTGAGTTTCTGTTGTGGCTTCAGTGCAGATGAGTGGACTCTCTATAGTGGCTTTTTCACCTGAGGACCTAGACTGGACCAGTCACCAAAAGCACCCCACATGGATCTGATCGAAAGCAGGACATCCCAGTGGTCTCCTTGAATCCTTCACGGAAGCTTCACTTCCACCGACAACGCCTGGCTGCTGTCGGTGAGTTGGGATCCTCAGGCATAGAGTTGGGAACTGAGTGGGGGTTGTGATGGGTTGTGGGTCTTGAAGGGTTTCGCTTCCAGATGAGAAGTGGGTGAGAAACAAAGGGGATGTTTCTTCAAGTTCCTGATGGGTTGGGGGAGATTCAGCCAACTTCAGCAGCAGAGAGGCTCTGCTGGGTAGCTTTCCTTCTGAATCAGAAAGTGCTCTGCAGACGCACTCAGGAGCGAATACGACTTCATCTACTCGCCTGGGTATGTTTTGAACTGCCTGGGCAGCAAGGTTCTCTATGGCCGGCCCAGGTGTTGGGGCCTCACATTACACATTCAATGATTACTTTTTTATCCAGTTCTGCAAATCTCACGCACTGCCAAGAAACATTCCAGATGAGCACCTCTAGTTTCCCTTGCTTTTGCATGACCTCAATCAGTGTGAGGCCGAGCGTATTTGGTGGATGCTCAAAAGATGAACGATGTCAAGGACAGCCGCTGGGGGGGGGGAGCAGGATTCAGATGATTGAGTCTGATATCTGGAAGTTGGTGATCTTCTGAAGGAATGGGATCAACGAAAACAACTAAATGCGTATTATTCCTCTTTCTACTACGTCGGTAAAGCTGGATTTCTATTTTCATGTCCTTTCTAATTCTGTTGCCCATCTTGAACCTCGAACTCTATGAGGAGAGCGGTCCATTTCTCCCCACCTCTCACCGCGAGACGAGGTCCGGGAAGCGGAGACACACCACGATCTGTCCTTTGTCTCAACGCATCTTGGACGGAGCGCAAACCTGGCGCCGGTCGCTCCATCCAGGGCGAGTGTTTTCCGTGTCCGATCGAACACGGCATGAGGTCAGACATCACCGACTTCCTTACTGGTGACTCCTGACCTTTCTTTCCTCAAAATCCCTGTTGGGTATGGTTTGAGTCTGAGGTTCTCAAATTTGGCCCATCAAGTCTGGGTCAAGTCCAGTGCCACAGAGTGCCACAGAGGGGACCGTGGGCTCTTGACTGACAGAATGCACATTTTGGGGTGCCTTTCAGCCTTGTTGGGTTGCTCACCCCCAGGCATGCCACAGTTAACACATCTGGTAGTTCTTCCAATTCGTGAGATGTACGTCCAAGCGATTGTACCTGATGTTCTTGGAGGTTGGGGCCATCCGAAGAACAGGAACTTCCTTTCAAACATGGTCGAGCGCAGGGCCCAACACTGATTCCGGCGTGTCACTGGCGCAAAGGAACGATGTGCTAACCTCCGTCTTCGCACGCCTCATTGCTGCACGAGTGCCTTGTCGCAACGGACGGAGACTGCCGCGGATCATCCGGTTCACCACGAGGTTCACAACGTATGCCACATGTGTTGTGTTCACTTGGCCTCGAGTGATAGCAATTCTCGTCCACACTCATGAGTCGACGGACCGCGAAGAACCACACGACCTTGTGTGGCTATGGCACATCGTAACGGTGACTTGACTTTTTCCCCCCCCAAAGGGCTTTCACGTACAAACCCGATGGCTGCTTTTTTCCCCCCTATGTTTCAGCGAGCCCAGAGCGACAGAACGGTGGCTCGTCTTTATGGTAGGAGGCCTCAACCTGGAGGGGGCGGGGGTGCATGGACGACAAATCGGCGACGAGCTGAGGTTTGCTCCATGGCGGTGAACTTCCGACATCGCCTGCCAGGGATTCTGGAGGAGCTGAGTGTTCGATGTGTTTCCTTCTAGGTTGTGTTTTGGATAAACGGCGAGCGGAAAGGGGGAGGTGCAGTTCAGGAAGACACAAGCAGCTGGCTATGATTGGCTATGGCTATGGCCCAAGAGAAGAGACCAGGTCAGTTAGGTTTGGGTCTATTCCCCTAAATTTTGTGAGCCATACCCCGCTGGATGAGGTAAAATATGAGATTGACCTTCGCCAAGCTCCCTGTTTGATCTCATTTAAACACCAGGGACGAGGGAACATACAATGTGTGGTTCATGAGAGGCTTTCAGGCTGTTCATAGACAGTGGGCTGCTTTGATGTGAAGTCATCCGTTGATGTAGGAACAACTGGCACCTCCCGTGATGAAGGCCACAAGAACAAGCGATGCTTATGACTGGTCTGCACAGCTACAGAACTTCTGCCCGCGGCTGCTTAAATGATCAGTCCATTGTATTTTACGAGTCCTTATAACATTGAAATGCAGTCTTGTCTAGTAGTGCTGCTATCACTCACACTTTGTCTAATCAAAACCAACTGCAGCCTGCACAGGAGGATGCAGGAAACTACCAGGCGAGCAGTCCTCAGGGTTCTCCAGGTTCCAAGTCACCTAGCGGAGCAAAGGGAAGCACTGATTCTCGGGCTCCATCAAGGTGTCATGGAGCACCAAAGAAGACGTATTTTCTTTAGCCCTAGGAGTGAAAGTATGAAAGACCCCCCCAAAAGTATAAAACAGACCCACAAGCCACAGAGAAAAACAGAAGCTGATGGTAATCTAAAGGAAACCACAAACCAACTGAACAAACCGTTTATCAACGCATTTGTAAACGCTGCTTCGCAGGGCCTCCTTTGCTTGTGCCCCTCGGACTACGCCTCACCCGGCCTCGTGCGCACGAGCCTGGTGCGCGGGAAAGACACCGCTGTCTTTCGCCGCTGCGGTCGTGAGCCGGCGCGGAGGGCGGGAGGAAGGATTCATAAAATAAAGAGATTGAGAGAGAGAGAGAGAGAGAGAGTGAGTGAGTGAGTGAGTGGGTGAGTGAGTGAGTGAGAGAGTGTCAGAGTGAGACGAATTCCTGAGAGAGACAAAAAAGAGATTCATGACGAATAGTTGAGAAGTTTAAGAGATCAAGAAGGTCCAGCAGAGTGGAGACTGCCAGTGAAAAGAGGACGTGGATGATGCGGGAAAACAGAGGACTTGCTGAGTCCGCACTGCTCAAGGCTGAGCCGCTGCCAGACTTCTGGGAGACCTTGAGCTCGCGGCTGGCCGCCGGCGACTCAAAGATGGACTGTCAGGGTGTTGGGCTTTCATCCATATGCAGCACGATGATAGATAGATGATAGATGTTCTATGATGTTCTTGCGTATAGGCCAGCCAAAGTGCCGGTTGGGGGAAGGCATCTATTTGAAGAGCAATTTTGGAGGCTGTACCAAAAAGTTCCCCGGAACTATTTCCTACACCCTTGTGGGGTGTCCTGCTGAGACACGTTTCCATGTTTCAATCAACTCCTGCTTGCTCAAACGTGGGAAGGAAACACATGAGCTTTGAAGGGCGTCCTGATCAGCTTTGTGATTGATGTGAACTTCCGAGGTCATCACTAGCTGGGCATTCCAGGGTGACCCTGGTCTCGAAGGATGTGAGATGATTCTTCATTTGCCTCATTTCGACCTCGATGAGGCCAGCTATCAAATGTCAGTTTCTTTTTCTTCTGCATTGTTTTTGTTCGGCATAATTTACTGCAATATTTTTGGACACCACGTGTGAGGCAGTAATTGGAATCTGTACATGGTTTTTTTCAAGAGAGGTTTATGCGACATTTGGCTCCGACCTCACCGCGCATCGATAGTGAAAAAGACAATAACCAAGAGAGATTTCCTATTCTTTTTTTTGAGAGTGGCAGGCTGTGAGAGTGCACTTTTTTGCTATTTTTAGAATTCCATTAAGTCATTTGACATGTATAGTTTTTTGTAAAATCTAGGCCTAAGAACAAATGAAAAATAGCAAAAAACTGCACTCTCAGGGCCTGCCGTTCTGTTTTTTTTTCTAAGCAGAAACGACATGGTCACTGAGGTGAACTCTGACATGGCTGTGATCTTCAGGCCACGTGCTGGGCAGCTCGCGGTGGGGGCCCCAGATCAAATCAAAACCGATAGGATCTGATCCGAACGCATGGACTGGTTGAGGATATTGAGAGAGGCCGTAGACTATTTTCTGTTTTTGTTTTTCTTAAAGGTTTGTTTGGACCACACGACTACATAGATCTTTGTGACGACCAGTTTAAGGGAATGAATGAATCGATTTCTGCGCAGGAACGGCATCAGATCACTTCTTAGCAGTTTGTGTTAGTAAGTCAGAAGCCTTCTTTGCTGCAAGTTTAACACAGCTTATTAGTGTCTTCGAAAGATCTATGGCCGCCAATCTGACTTTTAAGGTCATGAGCTTCCTCAAGGACTTGGACATGGATGAACTAGTGAAAGGAACCGATGTCTTTGGAGGACCTTTGTCCACTGATGTCTTTCGCGAAGAAAAGAAATCTCGCAGACCTGGTGAGCACCGATGTCAAGGAATCGGTACTGGTTCTGGGTACTGGGGGGGATGGTAAGGAATACTGTGCTAGTGAGAAATTTGTAATTACTTCCAGTCTTTGCGTTGTGGATTTCAACGATCTACACTCCCTGAAACAAGCATGGAAGTGGAACAGCTTCCATGATTGTCCTAGAGAAACCTACTGTATCCTTCCTGTAGGTGGTTTGCATGGTCAGCAAGCGGTGATAAATAGATAAGCAAATACATATATACATATAAAATAACTATTTGTACTTGGGACTACTTTAGTGGGTATTGAGGCCAGTTGAATCCTTTGACAGATCCTGTTATCCCCTCTTAAACCTCAGCTACCCATCAAAGCTAGCAAGGAAAACAGGGGTCACACTTCGACTCCAGCATGCTGTGGACGGGTTGAGGCTTTGCTGATGTTGGAGCAGGGCTTGACTTTTGAAGAAGCCTGGAGCTTATGCGAGAGGCGTGGACACAGCAGGGTTCGTGTTGGGAGGGAGCCTTGAAGGACTGAATTCGGAGAAGCCCTCGATGTTTGGTTTGAGCATTTTGATCGGGGTTCCCATGGTTTAGACACTGCAGGTAGAGTCCAAGTTAAAGGTTCCAGGTAGAACACTCTGTTTAGTTCAGTTTCACCTGGGGTGCTGTACCGGGATGTGCCATAGCTTTTGGCAGGAAGCGGCCGATCGTGTATCCAAATGTCGGGAGCTGAATGATTGCTTTGGTATGGTGCTGCTGATATCTCTGCAAACCGCAAGCCGCGCGATTTGGCCTAGTCTTCCCTGCTACCAGAATCAGAATACATACACGGATGTTGCGACTTGGGCGTCAAAGGACATTTTTGTTGTGTCATTTTTGATGCCCAAGATGTGACAATGTCAAGGTGATGTGGCACCCATTTTTTTCGAGGATGTTTATGTATAGCTGTATAAAACCTCATAATGCCCACAATGCCAAGATATGTTTTCAAAGCAGTCTCAAGCTGTTCGGATGAACTTGGAACTCCATGACGCTGGTAGCGGTGAACCCGTTTTTGTCCTGGCCTTGGCTGAAGCTCGTGTCTCAGGTCGGCTTCCAGCAGCAACTCCGGTATTTGGAGAAGATCATGACGAAGGTGGTGGACTTCAAGGCATGCTCCGAGTCGAAAAAGACCAGCGCAACGGAACTCTTCAGATGCTATGGTCGCACTGGTGTGGTCGGTGTGCCAGGTACCTTTACAGGCACAACAGGCTTTGGTGCATGGCTAGCGTAATTCATGCCTCCTGTGAATCATGTGCGTGGAGCAGCCTTGCAGTGAAGGTGCTAGATTATGCCGAACTGAACGGCCCTGCATGGTCAAAGTGTGCATATGCATCTCAAAAACATAGATCTTCTGCCCAGCCAGCTGGAAGCGCACCAGAGTTTTGGCCACACCGACGGTGGCACCGAAACGATTGCCCAAGTCCTAAGAGCTCTGGAATGCTACCTAGAATACATCCCATGTGTTCCATGTGCTGTTTCCTATCTCCGCGTTCCTTGGTGCTTGTTTTGCTAATTTTGCTAATTGATGATAAACACATATATTCAATGCTTTTCAATGCGGAGCTTATGCAATTGTCGTTCCTGTGAGGAAACCATTGGGAATTTGATGGTGTGCGATGCGGGATTGCTACGGATTGAAATAGTAAGTATGAAGGTCTCCGATTTGGTTGGCAGTCGTCCAGGTCACAGGTTGTTCTTAGATACAGAAGCACAAGCTGGTTTGCAGGCACCATGGCCAAAGCAGATCGAAGCTTTGCGGGAGGCACGTGCTGCCAACATCATCATTTTTGTAAGATGGGTCTGAAAAATCCACCAAATGCCGAAGCCACAAAGTGTGAGCTGTTATTTTGATCCCAAGAAGCTAGCAACTGCGAGGCGTTTTTGATTGACCTTCACCGCATCATCTGAGCGCACAACTGCCAGCCTGCATGGCGCCATGGACGACTTGTTTGGGGCCCCTCCATGGTCAAACAACCCATCTGCTGAACCTGAGATCCTTCACCGATTGCCACTGATCGCCATCAGCGGCCGATCCAACGCCCGACAGGCTTTGCCCAAGGGCGATCTGGAAGCCGCTGCGTGCGACGCTGAGGTTTTGGTTCGAAACGGTGTAGTGTTCGCCCAGCCCGTTGGCCAGAAGTCTCGGTGGAACAGTTCCCGAGGGAAGCGAACTTGAAGTGAATTTCACAAGTTTGGGACGCCAGTTGCGTCCTGAAGAGACCCTTGTGCAAATGAGACATCTTCTGAAGTAGAGGAGCAACTCTTGCTTCAACGGCCCCTTCCGCCCCAAAGGTGGGGGAAAGATGTGGGCAAAGACACAAGCCGGCGACAAACCGGAGTATGCGCGCACGATTCTCACTCTGCATCATGCAACTCTGCCGGTGGTTTTCGACTCCCCAGACTCTGAAATTCGGCGTGAGTCTTTTTGGACCAGCGAAGACTGCACTTTCCGGGCCTTGGTCCATGAAGCTTCATGACCTGCATGGCAGGAGCCTGGTCCATCTTATCCACACATCCACTTATCCAGGCCCCAAGATCATCAACCTCTCCAGGGATCTTCGCGGCTTGAGGTCACCTTTACCCATTCGCGAGGCCATCGGCTCCTGCATGGGCCAGGCGCAGTGCCCAGAGGAAGCCGCGTGATTGATCGGGGTGCTTGGTGTTGATTGAATGATCTAAAGTCACTAGGGGATCCTTGTCTACCAATGGCTTTTAGGCTTTTACTCTTAAATCTAAGTTTGTTGCCCAAAATTATTGGATGATATTCTGACACTTCCTTCTTTACTTCTTTTTGGTTTGTGTTGTCTTTTTCGTTGTTGCGGGAAAAAAGACCGGTGGTTCCCACTCTTCCTCTACTTGTCCACCTGGCCATCCGGGTTCCAAGGTGGACATCATGGAAATGGAGTGAAACGTCTCAGTCGAACGTCCTGTGAAAAGCTTCTTTTGTGTGAAAAGCTCTAAGAATTGAGGCTCTGATCTTCCTATATGGTTGTTGGGAGATGTTGGGAGTGGTTTGACTTCATAGAGATTTGGCAGACCTCTTGCGATCCGATTGTCCTTTGGGCCCATCGACATTTTCTATAGATCCCCTTTTCAGCTCGATTTAAGGGACAGACAAGAACACCGAGGATGTGGTTCAATGATGACGCATGATGTAGCTATTATATAGGTATGGTATGGGTCACCCCGTTTTGTTACGCCTCAAATCCATCCAGTCCCGTCAGGCCCTCAATGAGCTCGAAGGCTTAGTTGAGAAGGACTGCGGCGGGGATGCAAGTTGCTTCTGTGTGGAGCCACACCGTCCGGGAGAATGCCACTTCCCAAGAAGCGGCCAGGTGTGTTTGTGGTGCCGTCATTTTCAGATATCACTCGCTCCCAAACGCGCCCCTTCCTGGCGAGTTTTAAGCCCTTTTCCATTCATCGGTTTGGTGTCATGAGTGACTAATTCCACCGACTCTGCGACGCCACTCTCGAGCTCTCCGCTGTACGAATACGGCACCCTTCCAGGTTCTGACCCAGCCTCAGCCGGCTCCTCAGGGGGCACGTCCTTCTGGGGGAGTTTGGGTCCTTCTACCCGTGGGAAAAGAGTCGACGCTCCGAACGTAGCGCTTGTTTCGGGTCGTTGTAGCGACGTGTGAGGGTTCGCTGATTGCACATCGAACCCTCACACAAACTTGGGCATGTGGGAATGCTTGAGAGCTCCCTTTTTTCGTTTGAAATTCATCAGCTGAGTCTCACAGGTTGCTGCAAAAGCGCGAGCTTTGGAAGCGACAGGGGCCCGGACGCCTCAGTGACTTGTGTTGCAGAGGACTGAAACTCTTCTTGTCCGAATACCGAATCACTTTTTCTATTTTAACACCCAGTTTCGATGGTTGTCATGTACTTTCACCGGACCCACTTTCGACAAGTCGGTTAGGTTTTGATCCATCCGCGACCCCACGAGCGGGTCAGAAGGCGGAAACCACGAGCGCCAGACCATGCTCCCCACAAGTCCGTAGAGAGGACAACGCCCGAAACCAGTGTGGAAGTTTGTACTGCAGGTTCAAGCCAATCAATTCGGATGCAAGGGAATCAGTCATGGTGAAGTAAGCAGGTACAGTACAGAGCAAGATATTGCAAACACACCAAAGAGCGGCAGCTGTGAGGGCATCAAAGAGATTCTCAGTTTCTTGCTGGAGTCATGCTACAAGAATCAGATCTGGTTGCTACAGCATCACAAGAATATATACACATCTTGTGCCATGGCCGATGAGCAACTTGCGCTTCTCTCTTCCATCACCTGCAAAGACGTGGAAACCTGCCGCATTGCCTTGGCACGTGTAGGATGGGACCTGAACCAAGCTGCCCAGCAGCTAATGTCTGAGCAGAGCTCGATTGGCCGCTGCACATGCGGAAAAGAAGGGGAAGGCTACTATGGCCAAGGCGAGGAATCTCCAGGATGGCCTGAAACAACAAATACAAATCTCGTGTGCGTAGGGCATTTGGACACCGCCTTTTGCAGGTCCTCATTTGGACACCAGGGCTTCGCGCTTCGGTGGTGAGACATTCTTCATAAAACTCAGAGGATCTTCATGCGCTTGCGCGCGTAGACCACCACGGCCACCGAAGTGGGAGACAGGAAAACGTCCTCTGTTGAATTGAGGTAAAAAGGTTCATACCCCAATCTAGATTCCATTTCCACCAGGTTCCTATTCTCAGACCTTCTTCTGCCGAGCTTGCTGGAGCCAATGGTCTTTTGATGCGGAAATGGATCAGGTGGCAGAACAGGAGGGGATGCTACAACGAGACTTGGGGCTGCTGGAGGCTGGGGTATTGAGTTGTTAAACAAACTTCCAGTGTGCCCAGCATGGACACACCTGCAAAACTTCTTACTAGTGGGTTGAGAGTAGATGGCACAATCCCCAAAAGGTGGTTTATATGGACCCCTATATAAAAGACATATTGGGGTTTGTGCCATCTACTCTCAATCCACTGTAAACCCTCATCAACCCCCCAAACACGAACCTCAAAAGGTAGTGATTCAGTTCTGCCACATGATCCGAACTCCACTTTTCGTAGAATCCGAAGTCAAGACCCCGTTCTGCTGGAACCTTCCCTTCAGGCCTCCCAGCTGGAGTTCTTGGGTGCCGAGTACTTTCGCCGCTTGGAGCAGCGCTGGCAGGAGCCCGTGAAGCGCACTGGGGAGTACTTCGCGTGGACCGCTGAGGGCTCTCAGGCCTGGGACGCCTTGGCCACGGCGGCGCGCCAGGGCGTGGCGGAACTCTCCCGCAGCGAGGTTGGCATGGAGAGTGCTGCCAGGTTCTTGGCCGGTGCGGCGAAGGATTGGTTGAGAGGGATGTTGTTCAGCATGTTTTCCGAAGGAAGAAGAAGGCGAAGCATTTTCTTTTCTTTTTGAGATGCAAGAGTCTAATCTGACCTATCATGGAGACACATGAATTTAAGCATTTCAATCCTCAGACAATTTGCTTACCCCGGGTGTTTGGTCTGCAGGAGGCTGGGCCACAACTCTGGAAACTCCTCACCATCTATGAAATCCAAGTGGCCTCCCAACTCCCCAGGCGGCAAGCCAGAGAAGCCAAGCCGGTAGGCTGTACAGGCGTGGCGTGCGCCAGTGGACTGCTGGGGCAAACAGAGGAGGTGGACGTCTACATCTATGACTATGGTCGACGAGACATCGTAGCAAGACTCCAGGCACCGGGCTCTTCGGCGCTGGTCTATGACCCGGCCTGCACCTTGTGCCCCATTGGCATCGGCACCTCCGGCTTGGCGGTCTCGCGGTTCACCCTCTACCCGCGCGGTCTCGCGGGTCGCCCGGCCGCTTCACGGTGCGGGCGCTGGAGCGGCAGTGGGGTGGGTGGACTGCCACTGGCGGCCATTTTGTGGGAACTCTTATTGGGTCCGCGCAACCTTCCAGAGGCCATCGAGTTTCTCAAGGGGCTGGTTTCGCAGAGTGCGCCACCACTTGCTGGAGCAGCCATGATGCTGATGCAGCCTGGTTATGGAGTTGCCATGGTCGAATGGTCATCAGAGGAGATTTCCGTGTCGCCCATTGCCATGGAAGGAGTTCTGGTGCATGCCAACCATTGCATTTTGGATTTGCGGGATGCAGAGAACCCAAAGATAGCCAGACTTTTGGAGGATAGTCGGAGAAGACAAGCAGTTGTTGAAGGCAGGGTCGGCTGAAATGTGTTCAGATTATTACGGCAATTGATTGTTCCTTCCAAATGACGGTCGGACAAAAGCCACACGAAGGGGAATCTCTTGCCCGAGGCTTGTATGCAGAAGAGCTGCTGGCCGGCAAACCGCCTACACTAGGCCTGAACCAGCTCCAGTCCTTCTTATCAGCGACGGGTGTGCAAAACGATGATGTTTTGGCCACAGTCATCAGCTGTCCGGCCAGCAGAGCGTTGTATGTGAGATTTCGCTTGCAGGTCACTGGCATGGAACGGGTGGAGGACACCATCTCTTGTGATTTCTGGCAATGCTTCGAAGGGTAGCCACACGTATGGAGTAGGGGTGTCGTCACGTATGGAGTAGGAGAGCACGTCCCAAAAGCGGACTCCACGCGCGTGACGCGAGTGGATGCTCCATCCGACCCTACCACGATGCCCATGGTTGAGCAAGCCTCGTTGGACCGGTCTCAGAGCGAGACGCTGAGCGCATTTCGCTCCACACAGGAGCCCGTAGTGTCCTTGCTCCGTTAGCGATGCCAGCCCCGATCGTAGCGTCCAACCCACTTCGATTTGAACCCAACCGTTTTGAAGGGTCAAAACTCAGCTCAGCTGGAATAGTCACCCCCACGCACCGAACCAGGCGCGACCGCGCCGAAACGGTGGCGTTCGGTGCCCGACCGACGATGCCGACGGCCGAGCTGTTTCCGATGTACATAGGATGTTTGCCCGAAAGGCGACAGTGAAACAAGCTGTTGAGTCGAGAAAGGGTGGTCGATGCGTTATATTCTATATTCTTCTGGGCTACTTACTAGGTTACTATGCTCTGCACCTGCCACACGTCATGTCAAATGGCGTCCTTCATGCCTTTGCACTTGCTTCTCATTGGTCCTCCTTGAAAGTCTTGCAGCAATCTGGCCATACCTCTTTGGTTTGGGGCATTGAACTGGTCTTTGCCAATATCCGATCAGAAAGCGAGAAGGGAGCGCGATCGTGGGGAAGACGGTGCCTTTGGCTCTGGGTGACCGTGTTTTGGTGAAACGGAAGCCTAAAAGGTCAACCATCTCTTCTATAGAGGGTGGAAAACGATTGACATGATCAACGGTCAACATTGCATGTTTGGTCGGGCTGGGTGATGGAGAGATTTCTTCGACGGTCCGACGGTCCGACGGTCGAGTCCGACGTGCATTTCTCTAACTGGGACACATACCAACGACCACAACGAAGCAAAGCAGCAGTCGAGCCACCGGCCACGAGAACTTTCCCGACATCGCTTCCGACCCGATCCCGCGAAGCTACGAGTACAGCCGGGTGAGGAGCAGAGCATAGCAGAGCTCATGGCCCACAGTATGGGGCTGCTGAAGTATAGAGAGAAATGAAATAGTGTTTATGTTTATGTAGGAGACACCTGTTCATCCTACTTGTTCACGCCACTCCGGCCTTCATTGAGAAGCAGATTTGGGCACTGCCACGGTTGACTGGGACCATCTAGCAGATTTTTCAGGCTGTTCTTCGAGAACCTGCACAAGTACAAGCGGGGGCCTTTGCTGTGCCATTTCACCAACATTAGGAAGTCAGCGTATCATAGCAGAATATCATAGCATATCGATTCCTTTTCCTCTCAGACGGTATTGGGCCTCAAGTTTAGCCCACCAATGCAGCTTGGATGTGACCGGAACGAGGCCATGATTATGGATTCTTTAAGATAGAAGTTTCTTCCCGTGTGTCAGGAATCTTCAAGACCGCATGTTTTTTTCGACCGCCGCGCTACCAGGGCCATTCCAGGGGACCTGGCTTTGCTTGGCCGGGCGAAGACGGCTGCCGAGCAGTTGAGGTTAGGAGAGCAGTCGAAAGAAGACTTGACCCCATAGGTGACCACCTGGAGGGAAATATTTTTGAATCGGCTTTTCATTTTTTCTCGTTTTCTCTTGTTTTTTTTGAAACAGCAGAACAACCATGTCTTTTCATGTTTTTGTTGTTGTTTTTGGAGTTCCTTGAAGGACATCAATGTATTCTTGCATATTTTGCACATATCTTTTTTGCTCATACTTCAACCTACAAGTTTGAGACATGGGTGAACTCCTCTCTCACTCTTCTCGGAGCAATTGACAATTTGCCGGTTGCACTACCACATCGTTGACCTTACCCGGTCCTGCAATTCTCTTGAAGAGAGCAGCGACTAGATTTCGCTTTTACCACGCCTAGGGTGCTTCAGTTCAGGTACGGGGCATTTCAACCCTTTTCTATACCAATGTATTTTGTTTGTTGATCAATCCCTTTCTGGAAGGCCCGTTGGTGACTAGGGAAGAGGATTCTTTTTCGTCAGGATTGTCACAATCAAGTTCACTGCAGAACTACAGACTCCTTCAGCACATGGGGCAAGGCCTCCCAACCATGGCGGCCAGGTCGTTGCAAAAAGTCTATAGTCAATCCCTGAAAGGCGCAAGGGCCCCAAGAGCCTCAGGTGCACGGTCTTCACATCACAAAAAAGGTCGGCCTGAGGCAGCAGGAGGTTCTTGATTCTTGCCATGTGGGATTCCTCTTCTAAATTTGAGCGTTGCCTCAGATGGTCTCCGTTGTGTTTGGGTTGTTGGATGTTAGTGACACGAATGTGGCGAGCTTTAGTTCTGCACTGGGGATATCGCCAAGGGCTGCCAAGGACACGCAAAAGCAAACGCAGTGCATTGACATTCTCAGTGCAAACCCAGGTTGGAATTGTAATTGGGGCTAGTTAGACAGCAATGATTGGTGGGTTTGTGGTGGACTTCTGAGGTCCAGCTGGCCAATGCAGTTGCACAAGAGTTGGAGGAGCGACCGACTCTGACGTTTTGCGTTTGGTTGTGTGTGTGCTGGCCTGACCCAACATCCAAGAGGCATACTGGCATTTTAGTAGAGATTCAGCATGAATCGATGGACATAACAGAGATAAATAAACATGGAGGGTGGGAGGGCAGAACCGCTCTCAGAAGTCCTTCTGGGCTCAAGAGCCCTGAAGGATCCTTTGTTTTCCACCCCCCTTTTGTTTAGAGGGGTGGCGCGGGCCGCGAATGGTGCTCATTGGTCAGGGAGAGGCCAGTGGGATTGGAACGATTCCGGACCTCCTGACGAGCCTGGCTGTTCCTGATCATGTATGGCAAGCCTTCATCAACGTGGCCGGAGACCCTGGTAATGATGTTAGGTTGATTGCGGCGATGCCCCCATGGACCATCCCTCAAATCGTGAATTCCTCGACACTGGCTGATGGTGAGCGGTTGACCCCCATTCAGGCGGCTCAGGTGGGGCTGGTGTGGCGCAATGCTAGATGGGTAATTCACCTTAGAGGAGGAGGAGAGGCTAGCAGGTTTGTTGATACTGACCCTTGGTCAATGCCCAGCAGCGGTGGACCTCCTGATGGACGTGGAGCGACAGAGCCTGGAACCACGGCGAAGGCTGCAAGCAGCGGAGGGGCTTCAGGCAGCAAGGAGAACTTGTTGAAGATGGCCAACTTGGTGGACCAGACGGACGACTCAGAGACGAAACTGCCGGATGCACTGAAGCTCAACGAGTGGACGCAGAGGTACATCGCAGTGATGGGTGCTCCACCTCAAGAAGAAGAAGAACCGACAGATGCGCAGTTGGCAGCTTTACATCACAGGGTGGCTGTGCAGAAGCAACCTCCCTACGTCGACTTCTCGGTATGGTTGCCGTTTGGGAGGAGGGTCCTCAAGAACCAGAAGTTCAGGACCTTCTTGCCTATAGGCGACGGGTCCTTCGTCATGAAAGAGCTCCCCGGTCCGCAGAACCTGCAACAATGGATGGTCAGTTGGAGAGTGTTCAAAGCCGCATGCATTTGTTTGAACATCGTGACATTGGCCGCCTTGCAGCTCTACGAGAAGGTCATTGAGAAGCTGGTGATTCAGTGGCCCAAAGCGTGGGGCCTCATAGCGCAGGCGGATGACAAAGCGAGAGCTGAGAAGCTTGAGAAGATTCGCAGGTCCATCGTCCTCGACATAGCAGCGGGCGGAGCACCTCCCAGAGAGTTTTCAGAAGATGAACCATGGACGGCATGCTTTAGAGCCTTGGCCCTTGATGAGACCTTTTGGAACGAGCAGGTGAGACATCCTGCAGCAGCTTGGTTGGCCAGCGGGGCCCATGGCGCTCCGAGGCCCCCAGCCGAAGCGATGGCGCTAGCACATCATCCGGGACCTCCTGCTGAGCATGGGGATTGGGATGAAAGAGGCGAGCGAAGGCGACAGGCCAATAGGGACAAGAGGTCAGCGAAACGCAAACGTTGGGCTGCAGATCGCGAAGAGCTCGTGAACTTGCGGGAGCAGAGATCCAAGGGGGACTTCAACAAGGGCAAGAGCAAGGGCAAGGGAAAAGACCAAGCAGGTCAAGAAATCTGTTATAGTTGGGCCAAGAACGTAGGCCCATGTGCTGGCTTGTCCGCAGGATCGGAGTGCAAGGGCAAGGTCAAGCGGATCCACAAGTGCATGTTGTGTTTCTCTCCGGCTCACCAGAATGCGGAGTGTCCAAAGAAGACGGCGTCCCCCGTGTGACCCTGAAGGGGCCGTGGGACAAAGGGTGCGGTTTTCCTCTCGTTTCGAACGAGGGGGGGACAGTTACGCGTGGCTTCGATTCGACGGGGATCGAGGGAGGGAGCCGGGGAGGGGAGTGATGACGTGACCGAATCGTGTTCGTAGGTCGTCGCAACTGAGGGAACGTCGTCGTGCGTCTCGAGTGCCTTGGTCGAACCGTTTCGAGGGTCGGGGAGTGACGAAAGGACGGGACTGGACGACGAGACAGAGTGAGTGACGCCGAGAAGCCTGGGCTCGTGAGACGGGCGGGTTCAGGGCGAACATCATGGCGGGGTCGAGCAAGAGCCTGGGGCAGCCGAGCCTGGACGAGCTGCCGGACAGGATCAGCGATGCCCTGAAGGCGGCCAGGGACTTCCCGGAGTACCAAGAGTTGAGGAAGTTCAGATTCCTACACATGTTCAGTGGCAAGGAAGACGTGTTGGGCAAATGCTTGACGGAGATGGCCAAGCGTGAAGGTCTTCAGCTGGAAGTCTATAGCCTGGACAGGCTGGGCGAAGGCGATGTCGATTTGACCAAGGACCACCCTTTCATGGAGCTCAGAGAGGAGGCAAACGCATCGGCCTTTGATGCAGCGCATGCAGGTTTTCCGTGCAACACGTTCAGCAGGGCGAGATGGAACATGGTCAACAGAGGTCCTCCCCCGATCAGGTCCCTGCAACGCATATATGGCTTGCCATCCAACTCGCCGGAGGAGCAGCAGCAGGCGGATGTGGGGACTTTGCTGGCGTCCAGGTCGGTGGAGATCGTCGGGGCCATCCTGAAGGACCAGCGCAGGCGGAGGGTGCCAGAGGCGGGGACGTTAGAAAACCCGCCTGGGAGCGACACCAAAGAAGAAGGACCGGCCTGGGAACTACCGGAGGTCAAGACGTTCATGGACGCGTTTGAGTGCCAGGCAGCTGATTACAACACGTGTGCCTACCAAGGTGATGAACGTGTCAGGTGGTACAAACCAGGTCGATGGGCTGGGCGGCTGTTGGACTTGAACAGGTTGAGCAAGCAGTGCATGAACCCCTAGTCGGAGCTAAGCGCACGTCCCTGGCTGCCCAATATCCGCGGAAGCTATGTGAAGAGTACTGCAAACTAGTAGTGACAGCCTTCAAGCATACCCTCCAGCTGGAATACTGGCGGCACAAACTGACCACCAAGACGGAGGAGGTTTCGGAGCTCAAGAAGAAGTGGCTGTTGAGCAAAGAACGAATCTACCAGGGACCTCCTGAAGGAAGACAAGTGGCTGACCCTTCCAAAAGGGTGTGGGAAGCGTCGCAAGCCTCTCAGGACACTAGGCCGCAGTTGGGGATGTCCAAGAAGGCAAGAAGGGAAGAAGAAAATGATCGCTTCATCGGAGGCATGAGGAACCCGGGACGAGCAGTAGAACGACTCTCGAGGGTGCGACAGGTGGGCATGGACGTGTCGAGGATTTGGGACAGGTTCATCCACGACTACCCGAAGGCATTGGACGTCGCCAAGAACTATGGCTCGGAGGCGAACAGACCGGACATGGAGATCGAGATGATGTGGAAAGGAGCGCTGAAGATGTTCTTTCAGACGAGGGCGTTCACGGACATCATCCTCAACCTAGAGAGCCAGGAGTGCTACAATTCAAGCCTTTGAAGGCTCACAAAGGCTTATCTTGACTAGCTGTTTTTGAAGGCTTAAAAGATAAGCCTTCCAGATATTATCATCGTGGGCACCATATATCATGGTTTGCTTCAGCTCTTCCAATTGGAACATGATGCACTGCGTGGTGCAAATCTTGAGCGCTCAACCTATGAATCCAAAGTATCTCCTTAAGAGATACTTTGTTTAGTATGTATACACTATATTTGCACACACACACACACCCAAAAAACATTCATGCGTTGTCGCCTGTGCGTTTGCGTTTCGGAGATGCCCGCAGCCAACGTGTTGTCATGCAACCTCTTGTCCAACAAATGAGTTGGTGGTCAGTTTCATATATCCTAAGGATACATACTCCAACAATCCGAATATGATTCCAAGTCAATTGTGATTCATACTGCGTACGTTCATGTTTGAGACTCCATCTCACCTCCCATGCTGCATCCCATGCCGTGAAAACTGCCGGCACATTTCTCCGTGGAAGTTGTGTGTCTGGGCTCCATTTAGAGCGAGCGACGCTTCACGAGAAAACTCAGCGAGAGCGGTGAACAAAGAACTCTAGCAGGGCTCTGTAACGGCTGAGGGTTGTTGACTCCATTGTGTTTACATGACATCTGCTGGCGATTTTGGAAATCTGGTGCATCAGATCTTCGTCCTGATAACAATGCTCGAACCTTATCGAAGCCACGAGGGTCGATGTGAAGTCGAAAGGTTGGTGTTAAGTACATCTCTTTGGGAACAAAAAACAAAAGTAAAGTTGTTCTTGTATTTTCAAGTTGAGGAGCCGCGGGTTGCGCCTGCTAGATTCGATGTATATTGTAAGCTCGAGTAGAGCATGAAACTTGGGGATGACTTTGTAGGTCTTACGTTCATCCCTTCTTTTGCGGTCAGCAGAGGTGAGCCGTTGGTATCCGAGCAACCCCTTCCGCGCGGCCTCCACCACTTTGTGTGTAGTGGCTTGGTCAAAGAAGGGGCCGTTGGAGTCCATCAAATACTGGAAGAGAGCAAATTGATACATAGTTTGAAACCTTTGTTCCCCCCCAGGGACTGTGCGTTCTTGTTTCAAATAATCCTTGCGCCAATAGAGCATGGTCTTAACCACAGCTGCTTTGAATATTGAGCCCAACTCTGGACAGGTGTTCCAAGTCTCTTTCCCGAAGCGGGTCAAAGAAAACCTATGTGAGCATGCTGTTGCGTGCGGCGACCGGTCGTGACACCACTTTTTGTAATGGGTGTAAACTTCTTTGGACAACCTCGAATCCATGTCTTTCAAAGTAATCCCAGCATGTTTGCACTCTAAGGTGTCACACACCAAGCTTGCAATCAGGACGCACCCTACTCCTTGATGATACACGTGTAGGAGATCCTGAGATTCCGGAAAGGTGGGACAAGCCAAGGGTAGGATAGGTTTCACAATTCTTCTCCACCATAACTCAACAATAGTAGTAGATCTACCCCGTGTTCTTTCCCCAAACAAAACAAAGCTAAAACACGAAATGCTTTGCCATGGACAACGAGCCTCTTCTAGATTCCTTTCTTTACACCACCCAGGTACTGCTTCCCATGCTGATTGTTTGTCCCCTTGAAGGATGCGATACTCTGCGTGTGTAAATC